CCCCGAGACAAAAAGTATTACATTCCAAAACCCAACACTAGTGAGCAAAATAAAGGACGATCCTCGGATGACTTACAGCTAGCTTTCTACGCGTATTAGCTAAGGCTGACAAGAGGCTATTTCAGAAACCTGATCTTGTTTTGACCGTGTACAGTTGCAAATTTAAATACAAAACGTTACGTTGCCGGGAACTGACGACCAGACGATAGTATGGGCCAACAGCTGAAGAAGGAACGAGACACCAGCATGACCTGATGCTTCAAGAAGTGACTCTTCAATCATTTATTGCAGAAGCTGTTCAGTAAGCGCGGTGTTTGAGCTGTGACAAAAGCCCTCTAGCCTAAACTCGGTTTATGGCGCGGTCCTTTGGAGTACAGGTCAGGGGAGAACTATGGTCCACAGCGGGACAACTGCTGGCTGGTAATCTGTACGACAGTTAGGATAAACCGCCAGGTGTCGGGGCGGAGAGTGGGGAGGAGGGGAAAAGGGGGAGGGGTAGGGGTGAAAAAGGGGGGGGGGGTTGATGGCATGCCTCCAGTTGGAGGTGAAAACTTTTTCATATTTGCACACACACAGTTGAGATAGTGGAGAGAAGTATTCCATTGGCCCTATTCATGTCTTACGTGGAAGGGACTTCTGACTGACCCCTTTTTACTCTTTCAAACCGCCACCACAAATATAGTTTATTTAGAGACAGACAGACAAACAAACACATACTCACACCCTCGCCCACTTACATGCACCGAGGCACACATGTACGCAGCATATCCCCACAAAGGCCCACAAACATGACATGTAGCTTTCAATAGTAGTACATGGGATGCCACAAAAGTCATATTTAACACTTGTAAAAAGCAAAACAGACAGAAACAACACACAGTGCTACAAAAAATACAATCAGCCAAAAACAATTCTACAACCTCCTCCTTTCAAGCAAACACACACAGAAACACACACACACACACACACGCACAAATACACATACACATTAAGCATACACAAACATCATCACTTCCCAAGTAGCTCGGACTATTTTACCATAATACTGACGTCAAACACGGGGCAGAGAATGATCCGGACTCACAACCAATAAGGCAGACACAACTCTGCACACATATTTCACACACATTGATCCAGTAAGGTGAAAAAATGGTGCAAAAGTGCACAGAAAATTCCGAAAGAACTTGCCGCGTTCCTTTAACTCCACGCAGCGGTGTCACTGACAGTCACAGATGTCCTGACATCTCTCTCCTCCTTCTCCGCCTCAACATCACAGCAGCAGCCACACACATCGTCCATTTTCTTTTTCTTGTCTCTCAGAGAAAATGTTTGTTTGTTTGTGTGGTAAATACAAGGGGGGATTCTCCCCTGACATGACCAGGAGCAATTTCCACAGGGACGAGGAGGAAACAACTCGGGCCAACCAGCCTCACAGAACAAAACTGATGACAGTCTCAGCTAAAAGTCAGCTAAACTTAGCAGCCTCACAAGTAATTTTTAAAAACCTATACTATACATAATCAGTAACATAATCCATCTGTCCACACTAAAATGTAAATCTAGACCATCCATAGGGATAGTCTTTTTATAATTTAAAACCTTTAATCTCAATTTCTTCTTGTTTGATCGGTCATAAAGACCATGAACTAAAAAAAGCAAAGTTTGCAAAATTTAGAAAATACATTAAAAGTATTGGGTATCATTTCTTGTGCCAATGTAAAAATACAGCAGTGGACTAATACTCTTCATATTTGTAATACAGTGTTTTAAGTACTGGATCAAAATCAATGTAAACTTTATATCTCAAAAACTTCGTTCCACTTGGCTTAAATTAAAATAACTAACTGTAACTCTGATCTCAATAACAGTGATAAGTGATAGTGACACCCCTTTGTTTTCCCCCTACACTACACCCCCTCAGGAACAAAACTGAATGACATTTTACCCACCATGCGTCTTGTGATCTTCCAAAGAAGTGCACAGGCCAATAATTTGTCAGATAAAGACTTAGCTTTCTGCATATATGTGTGACGCCGACTGTGTCAAGGTCACCCTTAAACTTAAAGCTGGGTGACAACTGTGCGTTGCCTTGAGAACATCAGTGTACAGCTATGAATCATATAAGCAGAAAACAATGCTTTGTTTCAATGGCATTATGTTTTTGTACAAAAGGCTTAACATTTTTTTTACACACATCAGGGGAAATCACTGTGGAATGTATAGAGCAGGAAGCATACCCTGACCTTTTGCCTAAACAGAAAGTCAAGGTAGGTAGGAAAAATAAAATATTATGAGAATTACCTATTACGACTGATAGCCTTCACCTATCTACTTTGTTCTGTTCAAATCCATTGAACAAAGCAACTTTTAAAGTTTAAAAGTAGTTGCGCATCTCATGAAGTGAATAGCATATAATTTACAAGACAGACTAACATACACAGAACAAAGGAGAATGCAATTTTTTGACAACAGCTTCACACCCAAAATAGTATCTAGTTTGAAGTGCCATTACAAGAGTATATAATGCCCTTACTGAAGTTAAAAATCAATTGGAGTGAGTTGGAGTGAGAAGAGAAGAGAGAACCTGGTATTGTAAAATTTTTATGTTTGGAAACATGGAAAATGAACACAGGGAAAGTGAAAGAAATGGAAACTACAAATCAAGAAAAACCAGCATTATATATTATATATCATAAGAGTCACGAAAATAGATCATAGCAACTTACTGGTCAGTAAATCCCTCGAGCTCATCAGCTTGCTCATCTAAGGTGGCTTCTAAATCCAAATAAGTTCCAAAATCAGCTTGAGCGCCGCTGTGATAGCGATAGATCTGGAGGGCACAGTCCTCAAGCTGCACGGAGAGATTAAAGAGAGAAACAAATCAACAATCAGGAAATAACAAAAAGGAGGGATTCTTTAAAAATCTTAATTAAGAAATGAGATCTAAAAAAGAATAAAAATTCCTCTTCTAAACACAGATAGAGACATCACAATCATTCATCATCATTGCTTTTCTCTCCCTGTATCAGAATAATTATAATTGTAATGTTTTTATCGCTTTTAAATCTCAAAGAAAAAAATCTATTTTCAGTTCCTCCCAATAACAACTTTCATCTCCTTGTAACTTTCACAATCAAGAGCCGAACGCAAGCCCCAGGCAGTCATCATGAAACTATCTAAATCATAAGGATACACAAAACTTGATAGAAAAAATGCATAATAAATTGCAGCCTCTGATTTAAAGATGAAAAATTAAAATAGAAACAAATGGAACAACAAAAAGTTTCTCGGATGGAGAGATTATTATAATTAAATGGAAGCCCTCCCATTATAAAACATAAAACAAAGCCTCCTATAACTCCTCTGAACTTTTATACACATGATGCACAGCAAATACATGGGTGTATCATGCTATATATATAATAGTATAGTTCACCCACATACATTACCCCTACAGGTAAACATTTTAATCATTTTTAGTGTAAAATAAAACACATTCCTAATCCTCGCCCTCCTCCCCACACACAACAGAGGAAAAGGGCACTTGTTTGTACAACATGTTTTACCTTTCAACTCTAGATCAAGATCTATCAATATTCCATTGCTGACATTTTGAGAGGCAAGGGATAGATTCTAGAAGTCCAACCAACTTGAAATTTAATTATAGATTCATATAATCTAGATCTATAGAGATCTATAACACCCCCCCCCCCCCCCCCCCCCCCTTTATTCCCCCAAAAAAATTCTTTAAAAACCGCGCGGGGGGGTGTTGTGTCTAGATATAAAAAAAAAACAGCTTCAAAGGACCTCTTTACAAGATTTTTCGAAAACGAAATCTCTCGCAGAGACCCAATTCTAAAATCCTCCTCTCGGGTGCCTCTCCAAAATAAACACAACGGGGGGGCGAACAGAATAAAAACTATTGTGTCGGACTCGGCTGAAAGCGTTAACAAAATTGATTTATCTTTTGTTATTAACAGCCAGCCCATATTCTTAATTAGCATAGGCCCCCCCCCCCCCCCCCACCTCCCTTTCATCTCCCCAAAAAGTTTCTTTAAAATCTGCGTCATGAAGCTGTAGATCTAGATTTACAGACAAATCAGCTACAACAGACCTCTTCACAGATTTTTCGAAATCGAAATCTCTCGCAAGATCCAAATTCTAGATTCGCCTTCCGGATGCCTTCCAAAATAAACACAACGGGGTGCTAGCCTATCTAAAACTTTGTCTCGATCCTGGCTTAAGCATTAACAATATTGATTTATCTTTGTTATTTACTAGCAGCCAATATCCTTATTAGCATAGGTCTTATGCCAGTCCAGTTACGCTCAGACATTCCGCTAACATTATTTACTTTTTAATGATTTGCTGGGTCTACGATCGACGACTTGTATCGATCACAGTCACAGGCAGGCACCGCCTTATAATGTTATAACTGTTCACGTTTCGGGTAGATGGATATAATCAGTTCACTTACCCTGTGTGGAGCCTGTAGCAACCTATGGATACCGGCAATTTGGTTTATCAACGGAACATTCTCAAGAAAAGGATATGTAGGTGGTCTCGTTGGTTCTGGAAAGTTTGTATTGGCAAAAGGATCCCTGTCATCTAAGAACTGAACGCGACAAGCGAACTGCGTCGCCATGATGCTTTGGTTTCGATCCTATGGACACTTATCACCTCTGACCCCGATATCCGTGCGCAGGGTCATGCAAAGGTAAAATTCGTCCTCTCCCACTTTCTCAGGACGTTTGAAAACAAAACACAAAACTCATAAAAGGAACAAAGCGAATTTCCGAACCAAGTTAGGCTAACACAGGCGTTCACATCTTGAAAAATCAAACCCTGAACGTCTATCGACCTGCTAACTGTTAACGCAGTGTCGAACAGTGTCGAACACATACGCACACACGCACACACGGGCGTGTGACGCGCTCTCTCTTTCTCCAGGTAGGTGACCCATTGAAGTGAAGGAAGTGTGACAGGCTAGCGGGCGCGCGGGGCCATTGCTTTCTAGTGACTCATGTCGCGATACGCTGGAGTGACTTCCCCAATAAGACGGAGGGACACGTTTAGAGCACAGTCATCAACACACGCACTGCTAAAAAGTTTGCATAAATCAAACAGATTATAGCGATTATAAGCTATCAATACTATACCATCCCATCTTTCTTTAGGCGCTCTCCGTTTACTCCTACTCACTATTATTGATTTTTGTCTAAAAATTCAACTCAGGAGAAATAAATTTATTCTACACTCCGGTGAAGATAGGCCTGCCTATAACTGCTTACTTTGCTGAATTAAACTCTTGTGTGCAGTGACAGTTAATGGTAGAGAAAAATAAAAGAATAATATAGTCTGAAAAAAAAGTACACATATTCAATGCTATCGATACTATAGGCCTACTCAAAAGAGTCGTGCGCCGATATTCTTCGTTGACTCACAGATAAATCGATCTAGGTTTATTTATTCAGTCTGGAAATTGTTGTTTAGCACGTAAGACTTGCCCAACCATTAAAAAACTCAGTATCGCCGCCCCAAATTTTAAAACCCCCCAAAAACTACA